TATGAACTTTCGATGCCTAGAAGTGATAACCGATGTGTTCAGGTGCCCTATGGTGAAGTCAACAGCAATTTTTGGCTCCGTCTTTGCGTCAGACGAGCTGTCTTTGAACGAGTTGAGTCAGCTCGTCTAAGCAGCGCCCATCAATTGCATTTAACCTTCAATTACATTTCATTCCGTTTGTGGGGGGCTGCATTTGGAACTGGTTCCTGGGCGCGTTTCTGGCACCCGCACTGGGGGCGGCACAGCACAGGATGCTGAGCTCCGGTTCAAGCACGTGGCTGGGGCGTGTGGCGGGGTTTGGCGCGGCGTGGCATTGCGTGGGGCATCGATTGGCGGCTGTGGAAAGCGGAGATTCTACAGGGCGCAGAGGTGGATCAACGGGAGAGGTAGCCAAACGTCAGCGCCGATTGGAGCGCGCGGATTCTCCAAGTTGTGAGACTGGATCGATGGGAGAGGCTGGCGAAAGGGACTGGTAGATATGGAGCATGGAGATTTTCCAAGCCGCGAAGGAGGATCGACGGGAGAGGCAGGCAAATGACAGCGACATATAGCATACCATTTCTACGCACCGGCTTGAGTTGGAATGCGGATAAGAAGAAGTTGGTTTTGGGGTTTAGGGGAACGCTGTGAACAGGTGAGGGCCCTTGGACAACCGGCTTTAGCTGAAATGCGAATATGAGTGAATTGATTTTGGGGTTTAGGGGAATGCGCTGAACGAGTGAGGGCCCTCGGGCAACTGGCTTGAGCTGGAATGCAGATACGAGTGAGTTGCTTTTGGGTTTAGGGGAATACGGTCAACAGGTGAGGGCCCTCGGGCCACCGGCTGGAGGTGCGATGCGGATATGAACAAGTCAACTCGGGCCAACGGAATTTTAGACGAGTTGTCCATTCGACGAAATGTCCTTAGACCACTTGTCCGTCAGACGAGCTGTCCTTAGACGAAATGTCCTTAGACCACCTGTCCGTCAGACGAGCTGTCCTTAGACGGAATTGCCGCCACCCAGCAAATGGGAAGCTTGGGGCGATGGCAGGCGGGTGGCGGCCATTTCGTCTGAGGACTTCTAAATCCCTGCAGTGCTGGCTGTTCATCTTGCTTGAAGGCCTTGCTCCTTCCGCACAATGCGTCGCCACACACTTTTCTGCGCTCGAGCGCTGCCCTGCGCTGTCGGGTACAGTTCCTGAGCCACGCCGGCATCGACAAAACGATAGGAGGGGTGGGGGTGGAGCGACACCGGGTGGGCTCAAATGCTGGGCGCCTTCACCGCAGCGCAGTGGAGTGTCATTGCCCTGTCCAGAAATCACAAATGCAGTCCATGGATCTATCTCACCACGGATGACAATCCCCAGTACTGAAGGTGTGGCTCAATGATCCCTTCAAAGAAGGCAAGGCGTTGCGAACTGTAAATTCATCTACACAGTTGAGATAGGGGCTAAAACAGCAGCCTCAATAAAAGCCAAGTTTCAAGAGCACACGCAACCATTTCGGCGACAATGTACCGCACATCGTTACACATTCCCAGTCTACATGCTCAGTCCATCACACTGCCTACACAAAGGAAAAAAACGCTCAGTTCTCAGCGCCTGGCCTACTGCACCCTGCGTGCACATTTCGAGGCTCCTGCAGCCCTTCCTGCAAATGATGGTTGCTCGCCGTCGCCTCATTGCTGCTTCAACATGCTTATGTACAACACTGTGGGTGCAAAACAACAGGAAATCAATTGTGACAGTGGTGAGTCAGCCCTTGAGAGCAATGAATCTAGGCAGTCAGCATATTCTCTGCGACTCAGGAGACATGGTGTCAACAAGACGGCCGAATTCGATGGCCATACTCACAGGGAGCCATGCTGCAAAGAGTGATCGTACACCACCAGGCGGCAGCATACACGCGAGTGGAACACACAAGTGCGCCATGATGCAAGTTGTCAGGTTCGTTGTCAGCAACGTTCGCAATACAGCGCGAGCGTGGCCCCATGAACAGAAGATTGCGACGAGCGAACATGCACTTAGGCTCACACAACGACAGAGGCATTCCAGAACGAGGCCTTCGATTGGGTAGCCGTTGCGGAAATTGCCCAGTGCCATGGCAGCAGCCTGACTGGACTCATTTCAAATGTTTAGAGCACGTGAAGGATATCAGGTGAGCCTATCGGCCTGCTCATGTTTATATTGGCACGGCAACGGTTAGAAGATCAGAAGGTACCCACGGTGAAAGACTAATCGACACACACAACAGCACCTTCGTGATTGCTAGGGGCAACCACGCATTGTGGGCCGATGTGTGCTCGGCTTCCAAGGAAAAAACAATGAGCTGGGCGGGGCAATCATCCAGTTCTATGGTCACACACCACCACTGTCTTCCTGTTCACGCTACTGTCCGTTACACTACCGTTCTTTTCCGTGCCATTCCTGTTGCACGTGGAGAGTTTTGCAACATCTTGCTTTCAGTGGATTGCAGAGAGATTGGGATGACACAACCTCAAGGACACCTCTGCGAACAAGCTGTTATATGCATTGATGGCTCAATAATGCGATGTGTGATCTGTCACTATCTTGGCCAATACGAAGGGAGAAACATCAGTGAATCATCAACTTGCAAGCGATTGACAGTCTTAGTGCACCTTTCAGGAGCTTGACAGAATGCCACCAAACGTCTTTGAAAAGGGCAAAAGATGACTGCAGGTCGTCCTCTGACAGATAGGAGCATGATACATGTGCATCCTCCTGCTAATCAAGAATGCTGGTGAGAATTTGTAATGCAATATCTTATCATTAATGCAACCCCTTACTGCCACCCTGCAGTTTGGCATTCAGACATCATTTCGTCTCTTCCCTTCTGGATGGCAGAGTCCTCACCATTGTTGCCCCTAATGAAGCAATCACCGTACTTTGCTTTCAGCTGCCCATTGATGTATTCCTGCAAATGCAGTGTGTGGGTGCAGTCCTCAGCTATTCTGCATGGCAGGCAATAGGAAAAGCCGATTGACAAATACCAGCGTTGGCTCTGGCATCTGCAGGCACTGCGACTTCCCTGTGCAATGAGGTGGCTGTACATGAAAACAGCTTGCCTTACAGGGGTGCCTGTAATCATTGCCCTTCTCACCATTCATTCAGCCAGAATGCACAACTGCTGCATCAACAACAATTGTGGATGTTGCAGGCTCCCAACAGCTGGACATCACCAAGGTGCAAGGTCCTACCCGCCACGGCTCTCTCTATCTTGTTCGAAATATGCAGTCATGCCCTTGCGCCTGGGGCAAATTGGTGATAGGTGTGGCTGCCCTGAACTGGGTGGAATCTTTGGTCGCTACAACTACTAAAGGCAAAGTCAATATATGCACAAATAATCCCCTTTCACTCTGGCTGCTGCCTGCAATCATGTGTTACCACCCTGCGTTTAGAGAGTATACATCATCGGTCACGGCATGGAACATGTTCTCACTGTCTTTGCTCATGAGGGATACAGGAGGGTGAGTGGGATATGAAACAGCACAGCATGGGGAAGCCACAACTGGAAGCGAGATGCCTTTGGCTGTGGCGTTCGAAAGGGACAACAATTTGAGAATGCTCAAAATCACGTGGTACCTCAGTCTGCTCCATCGCAATGTTCATGAAGCCATCCAAGCAGGCCAGTATACCTGTGCAGCACACAGGTCAAAACCACCCACCCCAAGGTCCCATCTAGACAGAAGAGATGTGTCCACTGCCAACAGCACAGCTGCACATATGATCAAATACTTTGAACGGGGCATTGACGCTTGTTTCGGTTCATTAGAGCAATCGTAGAGACAAAAGCGATTTACTTTCACTGCTGATCTGCCAGGGCCCCCCGCGTGACGTACTTCTCTGTTTTCTTGAGACTGAGCATTCCTTTGGATTCCAGTAATTTGGGGCCTTTACATCGCCCTGCACTCTCTGGCTGGCTGACACAAGGCCCACACATCGTGCGATAGGACGGGGCAGCCACCTGGATGCTGAAATGCGATGTGATACTGTGGATTTTAAAAGGGCATTGACTCCCAGTGAACAGAGGAAAACTGCACTGCACAAAGAACGAAGCTGGTGGGCAGCCACGAACACACCGAGTCCCCCACTCCACCCTCCAGCTTTCGGATCGTCACCCAGACCCCCCACATTTGGGGCCAAATCCAACATAGATTCGTGATCAGACAGGTGGCAGGGGAGTGCTTTTGCCGTGTTTGGACTTAAGGAATCAACGCAGACATTCCCTTCCTTTCGGATGGCATTTGACTGGGGACAAGCGGCGCCCCAGCGTCCTCCGGAGGACGTGGGATGGAGCCGGGCTGACCTGACAAGCCAAAATTGTGACACTTCCAATCCTTGCGCGCCTCCGCGGGCACGAGCCGGCCGATGAGAGGCGGCAGGCAGAACAAACCGCAAGGTCATGCACGAAACGGACCGCCATCACTGCCGCTGTCGACCACCCTCACCAAAAAAGAACCCGCGACGCTACTCCTCCAGCCTGTGATCACTGCCGCGGCCGATCAGGCCCAGCTAGCGCATCTGAACTGAAATCCGCGTGGGCCATTTCCGCCGCGCTATTTTCACTAAGAATCTGCCGAGCTTTCGAAGTGCTGGGACCGGAGAGCGTGCGGAATGCGCCCGCTCCCTTGGCCGGGGAGAGGGGCAGCGCGTCGTTCGCCGCGGCGGCCTCACCCCTGTAGTCCACGCCGGAGTTGAGCTTGACGATGACGGGCTTGCCCCTGATGTCCCTCGAGAGATGCCGGCTTCCCTTGTTCGCTCATGGCTCAGGGTAGGAGGGGAAGGCGAAGTATTTGACCTGCCACTTGACACCCAAAATACAAAATGCAACAAAACAAGACAAGAAAGACCCAAAATAAAGCAGAAAGCGAAACGAAAAAGCAAATCGCGCTGATTGGAAATCACTATGCCTTTCATTGGTATACGCTCATCAGTACATTAGTATGGCTCGATCGATGTGCCGAAACTTGGACTCCCTTTGTTATGCACTTGCCGGATCTGCGGGAAGTGCTTGTTGGGCGAAATAGATGGCTACCTCCTCTCCTTGATGAGTAAGATTTGTTGATAACGACGGATTACTTGAAATACGTTTTGGTCGGAGTCCCCGACTTGGGGAGGGACTTGAACCTGCGATCCATGGATCGGCAGGTTGGGCTGGCTCGGCTGACGCTGCTCGGCTTTGTCAGCATCCTTCCCTTGTGGGCCTTTCCAGGCTACACGTCATCAATACGTATGGACCCATTCCGCCCCAGCAAAGGCCTAAAATTATTAACAAAGACCCGAGGCGCCTGAAACATTGTGAAAGGCTTAAGCTCGGCCGAACAGTGTCCAAATCGACAACGGTGTCATGGCCTTGTCGATATCGCCATCTCCCAGATTGCAGCGCCAGCTGCTGCCACGATCTCTTCGATCTCAGCCCGCGTCTTGTTTTACTTCAACTCCGCCTTTTCCCAGAGAGTTAAGTTCTGTTTATACGCAGAACTTTAGCACAATCGTATTACTAGCATGCATGATTATTATCAACAGAAATTTTTGCTTCCTCTGTGACAGAGGAAGCAAATATTTCTGTTTATAGGGACAATTTATGTTTATGGGACAGTCCCATATTGAAGGTCATCAACATGCTGACTATAGTGATTATTGACAATTGACATAGTCACGCAACTGATGTTGGCCGTTTCTCTATGTGCGCAATTTTGCGCCTAAAAAGTAAAATAAAAAATGGAGCTGTAAACGTAAAGCTCAAGCCTGCATATACGCATATGCGCAATAATGCATATGCGCAAATGCAGTTACGTGAGCGCCAGACAAGTTGCCGTTGTCTTGAACTTTCCAGCAGCAGCTGCTCCTGCTGCTGCTCCTGATGATGATTTTGATTTGCGATTTTTCGGTGTGCCGCCCTGGATAACCCTCTCTTTCCCCAAACCCCGCAGGAAGTGGGTGGCAAGCGGCCATGACTTTTGAGGCTTATTCGATCCAACTGCTCAGCATGTACAGGCTTAGCAGCCCTCCATCAATTATCAATTGGTTCGCCACCAATTGAAGCATTCTGTGGCCTGGCCTACAAAACTGGGACCATGGAAGTACATTGGGTCTGCTAAGGATTCAATTACCCAATGCATGACTTAGTTGTAATGGAGGACTAAGATACCTCAATGCAGCGTTGGAAATCCAGAATTCAAGCAATTGCTTTGGAACGATGCAACCCCAGTCAGGTGACCTGACTATGGGCAGATGGGGAGCGGCCTGAACCTGAAGTTTTACAACGAACGATTTCAAATACTGGGACCATGTCAGCCCCATGCATTTATACGAAATCAACAAGTACATTCAACAGTCACTATACAGCGATATCAAGATATGTTCTCAAAATTTGAAATTGCAGCCATCGGGCTCATCGGTTGCTACCGATGCATCCGCAGCATATTTGGCTCCCGTCCTATCTAGATATTTAAACCGCGCTTCACTCGATATAGAAGCAAATCATATACTTTTGTGTCATAGAAACTTCCAGAAACAACCCAGTCCTTCGAGATGAAAATCGAAGCATGCTCCTGCAGGGGCATTTATGAGGAGTAGCCTTCCGCACTGATTGCACCACCCCTGGCTGCATCGATGTTGTCTCGTTTGCCTGCAAGGAAAAAAGATCACAATCGGAATGCCGTCAACACAAGCTAGGAACATACGCCGTGACCCATTTGCCGGTTTGGAAGTGTGCAGGATGTGCTGGTGCTCGCAGCACACGCCACCGAGTCGCGCGACTGGTTCAGGGTATATCACATGCCGCGTCGCTTCATGAATCTTAAGAGACGGCATTCTCGCAAACACATGCACAGTGTGACAGTAGTACAGAGCAATTCCCTACAAAATAGGCTTATGCGCATCATTAAGTCATAAATGTGATGCGGCTCTGCAGGATGTCGCGCTGGGGGAAACTGATGCCCAAACTGCGGTCGAGGGAACATGATTATGTCCCATTCTACCCCGATTTAGGTCGCAAACACGCGATGCGGTCCTTTGGCAAATTCGAACCCAGCCAAAAAATGTGGTAATTTGCATGGCCCTCTTGCCTGTATGTCGCCCCGGAACATGGCTTCGAACTGCTGCACTTCATCCTAAATCCCTGATGCCACAGAATCCCTACCTTTTACAGCATCTTCCTGCCGCTGCTGCCCCAAGCCTTTGAGGATGACGAGGATCCCGCCTTGTCCCAGTCAGCGTAGGCATCCGTGTTTGTCACCGTCTTCGTATTGTCGCCAACAGCGACGGCGCCAGCATCGCCAACAGCGGCGGCCTCTGCGCCAAGGACAGGGACTGTTAGGGGGTTCATATACATAAGCGGAGAGAGTGTAATATCGTTTCTGGCACTGCATAAGTCAGGGAGCCGTCTACTGATATTCTGCGAAGACATTTTCGCTCTCGTTTCAAAACTTTTTTGGGAGTTGTCCACATTCTTAGCACTTTTGCAAGACTTTTCTTTCCACGCATTCCTTCTGTGATATGTGTTGGAGGTCGAACAACATTGCAATTCATTTGGAACTAACTGCCATACGGAATCAACGGCCCTATTCACATGTAAATATAGGTCATGGCCGCCACAGAATTTGAGAAAGCAACGGAATTAGCCGTCCAGAAGGTCCCATCAGGTGAATGGATTTGGTCATTCCACCATGGTGATGTTATCTTGACTCAACCTTGACAGACGATCGGCTGTCGCCATTGCTTATCGCGATAAGTAATGGCGAAAAGAAAACCAGCTGCACAACTCTTACTCACTATGCAGCCAATCATGGAGTAAACAGTTTATGCAGAAATTGTGCAGGCACTTACTGTCCGTCGAGGCTAGAGACCCGGACCCAGAGGCGGAAGAATCCCACCCAGTGACGGTAGCCGTCTGGGTGCCCACAAAGGCGCCGTTGCCCTCAGCCCATCCATCTGCATTGGCGGTAGCATCCTGCTGCTTGTTGCCTGTACGCAAGCGCCGACAGAAAAAAAATCGGTAAGAAAAACAATAGCATACCGCCTCCTGTAAATAGGTCATGTCATTCAATGCACATTGGTTCCCTCAGCTACAGTTTGTAGAACTCTTTGCCAATTCAACATTTTGTCAGTAAATTTTTTAATCAAAACAAAAATCGAAAGATGGCAAAAGAAAAATTTCGAAAGATGGTCCAGCTCGGGTGCACATGCATAAGCGAGATCGAGAAAATCTGACAGTCATTGAAAGATCACCCTCTACCCGTGCGCATGCACGTTTGCACGTGGAAAATAATGGGATCAAATTATCGACTTTCCAACCAGGTGGAACAGCCAGCATTCCATTGCTTCAGTCCCCGCTCATCTCACCGTTCTTGCTGTTGCTGCCCCAGGCGTTGGATCCCGAGTTGGCGTCCGCGTTGTTTCCGGCAGCATTCGCATTGGTATTGGTCGTCGCCTTTGTCTTGTCGCCCACAGCCAGGGAGTCAGCGCCACCAATGGAAGCGGATTCTGAAGGGCAGGAAGCACACAGAAAGGCAATAAGAACTGGTTCATAAACACCAATAAGACGCAAAGCCACGCTTCTCACACACGGTATCCCCTCAGGAACACGAAGCAAATCCGTGGCAAGATTGATTACAGGACAAGCGCTTGTCCTGTAATCAATCCTGCGCTAGCACACCAACCCAAGAGCATTCCGTGTAAATGTATTCAATCAGTAGCCACCGTGTCCCGTGCTCATTTCGCCGTTTGTTAATATCACCATATTCCTGTGTTAAGCCGCACAATATTTAACACCATTTCCCTGATAACTACTTGCCTAGTTTCCTCGCCCTCGCAACCACCATTTAATTTTACATAACAAGGCAAGAAGCTGAGCGCCAGCTTCTTATTTTGACGGAGCAAAGCAGTGCCTGCCGTCATTTCATTGAAGTGTAATGTACTGCACATACTTGTTTAACACCTGAGCGATATCACTGAATTCCGTTTCCAGCACTTCCCTCCCGTGTGGCCCGTGTTGGTGCGTGCGAGCACAAGTGCAGCCGCATTGAAACGTCTTGCAGCTCTGATTTGACATCACTTCAGATGATCATCGTGTACTTCAATTGAACTTACTGTCGTTCTTGGACAGCGCGCCAGAACCTGCCGCGGACGAGTCCCACCCCGTCACTGTCGCGGTCTTCGTGCCCACGAAGGAGCCTCTCCCGGAAGCCTTGCCACTGGAGCCGGCACTGGCATCCTGCTGGCTGTAACCTGCCCACAACATATTAGCGTATCAGCGGCTGATGTGCAACTTCAGGCCCAACTCAATCGCAAGGAACAAGAGGGCATGGATCATTCCCACCATCCGAACAGCAATATGGCAGAAGCGTTAAGTTTCAACCGCTCAAGAGCGCGAGTTCCATCTAGGTGCGGAAACAAAGTAATCTAGTCGTTGGCCACCAGCTCTAGCTCACCTTTCTTGTTATTGCTTCCCCAAGCGTTGGAATCCGAGGTGGAGTCCGCCTTGTCCCAATCGGCGTTGGCCCGGGCGTTGGTTGTTGCCTTCGTTTTGTCTCCGACGGCGAGGGAATTGGAATCGCCAGAGGCAGCCGCCTCTATTGGAACACAGGAAACCGCTCAGATGCCCTTCAGGTACCACAGCCATAGCTTCGTGCCTAGGCTAGCATGTGGGCGGGCGGGATATCCAGTCATGTGGTCATCAAATGGGGGCAAGCTGCGTTGAACTTACGGTTAGTCTTGGCGAGGGCACCGGAGCTGGCGGCCGAAGAGTCCCACCCCGTGACGGTGGCGGTCTTGGTGCCCACGAAGGCGCCATGCCCCTCCGCCTTCCCATTCGAGTCGGCGGTGGCATCCTGCTGCTTGTAACCTGGCGACCAACAGGCGCGCCGTCGTGAACAGATTCCATTCCACCTCGTCGCAATTTGGAATCCATGAGCCCATGTTGCCATGTTCGTGACCTCGGTAGTTGGACATACTGTTCATGTGCGTTTGGTCTATAGCCCTCAGTGGCTTATAGGCAATTATCAGAATTTCATCACCATGACATTGCCAAAAGCCACACGTCCTTGTTGCTGTCCTTGCGGATTGCCAAACACAGAACGTAGTTTGGACAACGGGCAGGATCGATCACGCTCTGCATTTCCCGTCTCCTCTGGAGGAGAAGGTGATAAGATTTTCCCACCTTTCTTTTCGTTGCTGCCCCACGCCTTGGATCCCGAACTGCCGTCCGCATTGTTTCCGGCGGCATTGGCATTGCTCTTGGTCTTCGCTTTCGTCTTGTCGCCCACGGCGAGGGAGGTGGCGCCGCCAGCAGCTGCCGACTCTAGACGCCACCACCACCACCACATTGGATTCAAACACTGTGCCTACTGGGCAGAGGGGTAGCGCTCCTTGCAATATCCAACCCATTTTCAATTTTCATGCGTTGAAGTGCAGCTTGTTTCGGCTCCTGACATTCGTGCCAATAACTGGGATTATGGAGAAGAATTTTGCAATTTTTAGTTGTGTCTGAATAGATGGATATTCTCTTCAGGTTTGCACACATGGGAACAGGGAATCCTTTCTCGAGTCGTGGCACTTACTTGGAGTCGCGGCGTATACATTTGACTTGGTAGCCGATGAATCCCACCCTGTATAAGTACCGGTATTCGAGTTGACAAAGGAGCCCCTGCCGGCGGCTTTTCCATTAGCTTTGGCAGTGGCGTCCTGCGTCTTGTACCCTGGTAGCGACAAGCAAACGTGTCTTCATACCAAAACTTATTTAGCTGGGAATTGTGATTCCGCCATTGCTCGTTTTAATATTTTGAAGGGCGTTGTGTATAGGAGGCAGAAAGAGAGTCAGCAGGCAGCAGGCAGCAGAAGCTGACAGATGAACCACGAATCATCTTATGACTGTAGTCTGGTGACAGACTTGACATGATTCACATTTTAGGAATGTCCAATGGCACTTAAGATTGTGCTCAGGGACTCTGGAGCTGCTAATTGCTGCCTTCGTAATGCTTCTCTTTGTGCACAGACTGCAGTGGCCTGACCTCCAGAGCTGCTGCCCCAGGCGTTGGCATGGGTGGCGGTTGAAGCCTTGTCCCAGTCGGCTTTAACATCTGACTTGGTGGTCGCCTTGGTGTGATCCCCGACGGCAAGGGAGTTGGAGTCGCCAGCGGCGGCGGCATCTGCACCACGGGTACCACAAAGACGACGTCAAGTGCACTGTATCGAGCGTTAATCCCTATGAACGTCGCTCACAAAGTCATAGACATTTGCAGGCAATTGGACAGAAGGTCTAGTACATTGGCCTTGTGCTTCCACCAGTAATTAGAGTACAATATGGTATCGTATTACATATCGACGGCATTGCCCTGGGCCATGTATCCACTGTGGCGACAAGGGTGTTGTTGGTCAATCATCCATTGCTCCCAAGCCCCCGGTTGGTCTGCCAGGCAACGAACCAAGAACCCTGGCCTTGTCCTTTGACCATGCACTCTACCCACCAACACTGCGGCCTTGTACTTTGGCCTTGCACTTTAGCCACTTTGGCGGAAAGGGTGTTGTTGGTAAATTCGTGGGCGAATCAGCCGCTGTCCGCAAGCTTACTGTTCGTCTTGGCGAACCCGCCAGAGTAGGCAGCGGACGCGTACCACCCCGTCGCGGTGTCCGTCTTCGTCGCGCCAAGCGCGCCGTATCCCTCGGCGTACGCGCTCGAGTCGGCGTTGGCGTCCTGCGTCCTCCTCGGCCGCCGCCTCCTCCACGCCTCCGCGCCCGGGGCGGTGACCGCCGCCTGATCGACCGCACACACGCACACATTAGTCAGGCGCGCCGCCGCGGCCATAATCCGCGCCCCGCAGCCTGACTGCACGCCGTGCTCCTCAAATCTCCATCGATTTGTCACTTGCCACCTCGACCTCGAAGCCATAGGCCTTAAAGCTATTGCTCTGCACCCTTCACAACACAAGCAGACACCCGCCGGCACGCCCAACTTGTGGCGACACTTCGCCTCGGCCTACGCCGAAGTGCCTCGCGATCGGGCCCCCGCAGCGAGGGCTGGGGTCCCCGAGGCTTCAAGCTGGCCGCGGTCGCCCATCCGCATCACCCGCCTTGGGCAAGACTCACCAGGAGCACGCAGGTCAGCAGGACGGATCGCGCCGCCGTCTGCATGATGTCCGAGCCTTCCTGACGGATGAACTAAGGTCTCGGTCGATTACCTGGGCGGCAGAGGGGTGAAGCAGACGGGCGGATCAGCACCCGCGCAGCCGGTACTGGCTGCTGTCGGCCGCTGGCGAAGCAGGGGCGCCCGCTCCAATGCCGCTCAGCGGAAACGAGGCGCATTTTTAGGCGCCGAGGGAGGAGCCAGCGCCAGCGAGATCCCGGCACCGCGGTATTGTCCACGCAGCTGGGCCGCTAAGCGCTCCCAATCCAGCAAGACAGGGCCATCCAACGCGTCAACCGCTCGCCGCTCCGACCGACGACCGTTTGAGAAGCCGAACGCGGCTCCCCGCGGCGGGCGCGGTGGCCACCGCGGCGTTTTCATTCAAGCGCGCTCGTGCTGCATGCAACGGGTCAGTGTTTAAAACGGCAGACCATCGAACTTCCGGCCGACCCTGCGGGTGACGGGCAGCCCGCCGACACCCCTTGGAGCCGATCCCAGAGCCGGGAACGCTGTCGCCCTGGCTGTTACCGCGTCGGCGCCCATTTACTTGCACTGCCTAGGCCCCGCAAGGGCAGCAAGGAAATTGGGCGTGGGTCGGCATGGAAATCGCCGTCGGCGATCGAGCCTCCCCGCTCCTGCGGGGCGCGCCCTCGGTCGGAAGCCACCCGCCGCACCTGAGCTTGGGCGCCGGAGTCTGAGCTTTTGCTGTCTTCTGGCGCTGCCAAGAGAACGAGCGGGAACAGTTGCTTGTCGAAGCCACGGCGCTGGGCCGATATATACCATCTCGACTCGGTTTCCGTCGCGGTGAAGCAAGTACGACGTTGGATGCACGGGCCAGATCCCCAGGCACTGTCGTTGGATCTTCCCCTGAATGGACACATCAACGATGACGGGGTGCTGTACCCGACGGACAAGCATGTTGTGCGGATGTACCTGGGCGCCGTCCGCCTTCTTGTTGGGAACGTTGATTGACTCAGTGCTCCTCGAGAGTGCGAGCGTCCGTCCCTACGTCGGGCACTTTTCGTCTTGCGGTACTCCCTCACTGTGGCGCGCACCGCGGCGGCAGAGGGTCGGGCACGACGGCTGTCAGTCCTTGCGGCCCGTGGACAGCCATGGTGGCCGCTGATGGCCGGCTTGTGGAGGCAGGTCTATGAATCAACCATGGCGCGCCTCGTGGGCCGCTCCCTGCAACGAGGTCTGTACGCATTTTCACACCCCGGGCCACACTTTCCTTCTCCTTGTCAAACATTGGATCCTGACAAAAGTGTTGCGGTCGGCAGAACTCAAGCAGCGCCCCACAAGAAGCCTGCCTCGAGTCTGTCTTGCACGTGTGCGTGTCTGGAGACATATGCGTGCCGCGGACAGCTGTCTGTACAGCTGCAGCTGCGCTGTGCTGTGTCTTGACCTTGTTTTGAGGAGACTGAGAGGGACAGATTGTGAATTCGATGTGCATTTGTTGATTGAATTCATGCTTTTCAAATGCTCGCATCTGCACATGGCGGGCGTGCGGTTGACGTCTACCATTTCTCCTCATCGCTTCGCAGCGACGAGGAGAAATGGCGGATGTCAACAACACGCTAAGTACATATGCCTCTTGACTCGCAGTGCTCACTGCCCGCGAATTCCCAGGAGAATTCCCGCAGAGTGCGCACAGCGCGTTGTGTTTTGAAGGGATCCAATATGAAGGCTCTGAGATAATAGCGCCATTGACGGGAGGACATGATTGTTCGGGCATTTACCGTTAAGGTAAAGTTTTGGGATGCGAACGATAAACCCCTTCGTATGTGACTGGAACTAGCCGCAGGCCGACGGCTAGGCCTAGGCCACGCCTAGGCCTGGGGGAATTGGGCTGGCCACCGACAGTTGCCCATGCGCCTTTCCTATTCCAGATTCACCGCGGTCCATAATAGTGCCATCGTATCTTCAGATTGCGTTTAATAGTGACAACGGTCGGCTCATACGGTGTAGCGGTTCACATAGGCTAGACGGTCGTCAAAGGCCTGCGTCCTGAATTTGGTGGGTACTACATCCTCAACCACATATTGGACACCACATGGCGGACATGAAATGAAAATGCATATTCAGTTCACTATGCGGAGGAGCTCAT